ACATATTTTAAAAAGTAAAAAAAATCTTAAGTTTTTTTTTTTGTTTGTTTGTTGAAAACTTCAAATCTGCTTAATTTCTGTTGCTCATTATGATTTGAATAAACTTTCACAGAGTAGAGTTTTTTCATTGTRTTTGACAGTTTTCTTTTTATAGGAGTACAGAAAGACCACTGAACATACCATTGACCCCTACAACCACAGTACCTACTTACATATGCATCCTATGAACTGACTGGTCCAAATCACATAGAGAGAAGAAGTAACTATTGCTATTTCAGTTTCTTTTAAAAATACAAATATAGCAGCCTTTAACTTTCCACAGAGGGTACGTAGTGAACTGCTCATCATCAACAGTCGTCGTGACAGATTCAGGTTTAACCACAAATAAATCTAACTCTGCTTTGAAAAGGACTTTACAACTTTACAAGCACACAGAGGTGCTYGCATCTTTCTGTGCCGCGGCGGCCGTGTTGAGGCTGTCGGTGTGGACGTCAGGGATGGTCCGCTCCGGTCTCAGACACACCGCCAACCTCTGAGGAGAACAAGGCAGGAATCAGGAAGAAGAGAGRTTTGTTAGTAAAAGCTGTTTGCATGAGGGGCTTCTGGACTCCTTTGGACCCACTGACCTGTTTCAGAGAACCGGGGGTCCACACCAGCTTGTAGACCATGTAGATGGGGATCCACATGAAGGACGACAAGCCGATGATGTAGCCAACTGTGATGCTCCAGTCCGGGTATTTATAATCAAACAGGGCGAGGGGCGGAGCTTTCAGCAGGGAGCTCACGATGATGTACTTAGAAAAGGTAGAAAAACACGATGAAGTAGAAAAACTATGCAGAATAACTTTAAAGAAAGTTAAGACCTGCTGCCTTGTGTGGCAGCTTTAATCAAGAACCTCTGAGTATGTGTTGGGAAAGTATCTCAGCTACCACCATACCAAATTTYAGCTCAGTATCAGTAAAACTGATTCAGTAATCGTCCTTCTTGTGTTTGCTGAGGCTAGTTGTAGCGGCCATCTTGAATTGAGCTAACTCTAAAAGCTAATCTGAGGATTGTTTTCCGAGAGTTTCATTAAAATTTCTCCAGTGATTCATGACTTGTTCTGCTAAGACACAGACAAAACACACAAAGAAACAGTGAAATAACAAGTGTTTTTGGATAAAGTTTGGAGGAGGTTTTTATTTTTTTAATGCAGTCATGAGTTTTATCTACAAAAGACAATTTTTCTGTTTTTTCCAGCCTTCAAAGGCCACTGACGCAGCTTTTTTTTCCCTTTTTCTTCTCATTTTTATCATAATCCTATCTGCTATGGTCCACTTATCTCTGAACTATTTACAAGGAAAGATGCTTATTTCATCTTCTTCTTAAAGTATTCTCAACAAGTAGATAAAAGTAGACTTTTATTTACTTCTTCAAATGTGTTTATTTTCTTCTCTTACCGCCAGAAAGGCCGGACTTATGGCGACCCAGCAGACTCTCCAGAATAATCCCGGGGCTTTGCCCAGCATTGCCTGAACGTCACTGCTGAACCTGTTGATTCCTGAAAGCAGAGGGAGAAACACGTTATTGTATGAGGAACTGACAAAATAAAACATAACATAGAAAAATAGTACCATAGAACCAGGAAACAGCAATGGCCTCAAGAAAACCAACTGCKATAATAGAGCATCCCACTCCAAATTCCTCCAGCAGCTTCACCACATAGGCACCACCCTGTCAAAGAAACATAACACATCTTAAAACAGAAGGTAAATATCAGGACTCCAATGTAGCCTAAAYTACCTGAACCTTACAAAAGTATAAATATAAAGACTTTAACCTGAAGTAATCAGGGCTGTTTGTATGTTCTTGGTTAACCAATTTGATACAAAGAAGAAGAAGAAGAAATAAAAAGAAAACTTACATTAGTCAAGGTGCTTAGAGAGCCCAAAAAACAGACCACCACCAAGCACAAAACAAAAAGTTCCCGCCGGTGAGAGAAATAATCTGGGTATTCATCCAGCACAGCCGTGATGATTGCTTCCAGTCCTCCAAACTAAAACACAGAAAAGATGGGTTTTTTTAGAAAATCCCTGAAATATGTCAAGAAACAATGTACAACACTAATCTAAATTTACGTGATTAAAACTATTCCTTTGTCCTGCGTACCGTGCTGTCCAGGCCCAGGGTGATCATCATCACAAAAAAGATGATGGCAAAAAAAGTAGAACCCATCATGTTTGCGATCGCCTCCGGGTACGTGATGAAGAGTAAACTTGGTCCTGGAGAACAAAACGACAAGAAACCAACTGAAACCAGAAGATTTGTTTGGATGATTTGGTCCAAAAGAAATGTAGTTAAGAATAATATCTTTGTTTTAACTTAATGTGTTGTGATTTGTTGTTTGACCTTTATCTCTGGCAACATCCTCAACTTCTACCTTCCTCATCTCTGCCATGTAGCCCAGAACCGTGAAGATGACGAAGCCCGACACGAAGCTGGTCAGACAGTTCACCAAACTGGTCACGATGGCGTCACTGTCAGAGAAAGATAATAAAAAAAAGTTTTTATCAGAAGCAAAGTTCTAATATATCTCTGTCAAAAACTTTCCCCTCCATCTTTTATTAATCAGTTTAGTTGTTTTCAGCTTTGGTTTGTTTTTAAGACTTGAGTATGAACACAATTTTTCTACAATGACAAACTAATGATCTGAAACAAAATTATTGACAAATACTCCACTGGTTGTTTGAGGATGTGAAATTAAATCATAAATCTATCCCACCAAAAAAAAATACAGGAGTTTATAGGAGTTTAATACAGTTTAACTCTGGTTTAATTATGAAAACATTCAACTCGACTGGTGTGTATTTTTCTATAACTTCTGACATTTTTTAAATGTTTTACCCTAATTATAAAAAGATCATTGAAATACACTGCGTTTTTTTTATAATTTGTTCTCTTTGAAGTCTGCTCCAATTTATTCACTTAACTTTTGCTTTTAATTACAGTTTTGTTCACTTTAGAATGTTTTTACAATGTCTACAGTTTTATTAGTTTCAGCTTGCAGYGGTTTTAGCATGTAGCTACGTTTTTGCAAGTTTTAGCTTCTAGTTGTGGTTTTGCTTATTTTGTTTTGAAGCTGCTGTTTTGCTTTTTGTTATACAGTATTTTGGTTTTAGCAATGATTTTGTTAATTTTAGTTCTGTTCTTTCAGAACAAAGCAAGTGTTGAAGTTCAAATATAAAAGAGAACACAACTCATTTATTGTAATAAAGAACAAAAAAGAGAGTGTCATAAATGAAACAACTCAATAAGTTAAACATTCAGAACTCAGTGCTATTTTTTATTTAATATCACAAATACTTTAAGATGTGACATTGATCTGTGTCAAATATTAGTCTCTGTTTTCACTGCTCAGTTACTTTGTTGCACTAATCAGAAAAGTGTTACAGTTTTTAAATATAAATGTGTTTACATCAAACATTTAAAGCTGGTCATCATCTATCACCACTGCTCTCAAGGCATTAACTGTATAACAGAACTCTCCACACGTCTGCATGTGATTTATTTAATACTTTATCTGACATTTTAACAGCAGACCCATGATGTGTTCAAATATCACTTTTATCAAGCTGTAAAATAAATATTTACAAGACGCAGGAATAAAAAGTTGGATTGTCAGTGGATGTTGGGTGTCTCTACCGATAGCAGTTATTTGTAAAAGGGTTGTAGCTGGAGAGAGCCAGGAGGACTCCAAAGCCCGGACCCAGAGAGAAGAAGATCTGAGCAGCAGCATCCACCCACACCTGCAAAACAAAAACAGACGCTCTTCATCCTCACATTCTCCTCCCTAAACTTCACAGCTTCATCAGTGATCTTCAGCATGACTGCGCTCCTGTTGCTCGACATTTCAATATAACAAATCAACTCACTTTTTTAAACAAACCCCTTGATATTGTCACTACCTACAAATATCTTGGAATTAGTTTGGATTCTCATTTGACTTATCGTGATCATGT